CACATGTAATAGAAGCTATGATATTGAATAATTGTTGGTATTTTTAGAGTTTTAGAAAGAAGGGAATTGTGTTGGTTTGGATGTGCGTGTGTGTGTGTATGCGCACTGAGAAAGAGGAAGAACAGGAAGAACATGAAGAACAGCAGGAAGACGGAGATGGAACACAGAGACAAGATCCAAAATTTGTGTGGAAATTGGAATGGGTGTGGGGATTGGAGAGTTGGAAAAGGTCATTTTCTTGGGAGTAGGTTAGGTAATGTGTGTGTGTGTGTGTGTGTGTGTATATATATATATATATATATATAGAGAGAGAGAGAGAGAGAGAGAGAGAGAGAGAGAGAGGTCTGAATGCATAAAACTTGAAACAAACAGGAAGGAAGAGTGAAATGAAAGTGGAGGAAGGAAAGACGAGTAGGACTTTACCTGCCCGCCCATTCTGCCTCTGTTTAAAGCCAACCATGACCTTCCCTTTTCACCCAACCATATTCTTTTTTTCTTTCTTTTTAGTACATTAGAGATATCTATTTACTCGACCGAGCTCAGATTTGTCCATCTTAAATAAATGGAACCTAGCACAGTTTTTAAATCTCAACTAAAATACTAAATGAAGAATAAAAAGGAGAGATATTTATAGTATCAATTGGCATCAATTTTAAAGCTACTCATAGGTATCTTACCTTTAAAAATATGCGTGGAAGATTGTAACAATTGTGAGATAAAGACCCCGTAAGAGACAAAACCGAGAAACAAACTTTTTTTTTTGGACGTTTCCATGTATGTTCACTCAAGAAATGAAAAAAGTTAGAAAAATAAACCACCGTTGGAGTGTTTTGTCGTGAAAGCGTGTATAAATTTCATCAAATTTGAATATTCCTCCCAAAACGGTTGAAAAAATTGGCCCTAATTTTGTTTCACCAAATGCTTCAAATTCCCCAAATAGGGTCGTCATAAGGTTTCGTAGGCATAGCTACACGTTTTTTAATCTCCCAGTAATACTCCTATAGAAAATGGTATGGGAGTGAAACTATGATATTCCAATTGGTTGGAAAGGCATTCCCGAGAGTGAAACTTTGATATTACACATTAGATGGAGAGGAGAATAAAACATATACCACATTAGTTGGAGAAAGGAACAAAGGATAGTGGAGAGGGGAACAAAGCCTCCACATCAGTTAGAGAGAGAGAGAGAACCAAAGCATATCCACGTTAGTTGGAGAGAAGAAGAACAAATCATTCCTTGTAACAAAACCTCTCATTAGACGAGAAAGCCCAGGGGGGAAAGCTCAAAGAGAATCATATCTACTCACAATGGGTTTAGGCTTTTACAAATAGTATCAAAGCCAGACACCAAGTGGTATGCCAACGAGGACGTTGGCCCCTAAAGAGGTGGACTGTGAGATCCGACATTAATTAGAGAGGGTAATGAAGTATTCCATATAAGGGTGCGAGAACCTCTCCCTAGTATGCATGTTTTAAAAAAACTGTGAGGGGAAGTTGGAAACAAAAGTCTAAAGAAAACAATATTTGCTACCGGTGGGCTTGGATCCTTACAAAAACGAGGTCCAGATGTTTTTCCAAACATGTTTCAATTGGATTAAAGTTCACATTTGGGTTGAAAAGTCTTGAACGCATACCACATGTTTTTTCTTATCTTGTCCTCAGGTTAGTTTTAGTACAATCTCTAGTTTAGTTTTATAGCACAATCTCTAGTGTCTCTAGTGAATATGTGAGAATAGCGAGAGACCAATACCGGAACTGAGAATCTCGTATCCTTCCGTCTCAATGAATGGTAAAATCAGAAAAAGCTTAGTTATTGAAAGAAGAGAACAACGCGAAACGAATATTAGAAGACATTTTCTTAACCAAGACATAAGAACAGTAATCAAAACTTTCAAAATTACACCTTTACCTTCAAGCAATTTAACTGCCGCAAGTATCACCACCCTGAAGCCACTGTGCAACACCCACAAACAGTGAAACAGTAACATAAACATCCTAACTAGCAGTGTTGTAATTCAGTGAAGGCAGAGCAACTGATAGATTATAGCTTATGAAAACAGAGTCATCAGCAAAAGCCCAACAATCTAATGCCTTCAATAACTTCGTGGCAATATCAAAAAACAAGAATTTCAATCCAATGAGATGCTATTGATGAGCTACAAATGAAGCTAACTCTGCAAGCTTTTACCTTCAAGCAATAACGATGGCAACAACAAATCATTTTGGTACCATTTGCTAACAGTTTGACAGACATAGAATGCGGATTTACAGAGAAACGAAGAAGAACTATCACAAAGGAATATGGTTGAATGCATAATAAATGCAGATGCTTCATTGAAAGACCTCCACAAAACTAAGCAGCACAAGAGGGGAAAAAAAGGTATCTGCAAATTATACCATCATAAAAACAGTGTCCACCCACGGGACATGTCTGCGCCAACCAACAAGATAATAACAAAGCTACAAATATATGGCATTGAAAATCCAGAAAGTTACAGAAAATGAAGAAAAGAAATCATTGATGTTGGTTCAAATTTAGCCTAACTTAAAGGAGTAAGGAACATTTCAGTTGATTTTCCACAATTTAAGTTGTTTCTCCTTACCACTCACTCGATTATAGATTGGATCACACCAGCTCCAACAGTCTTTCCACCTTCTCTGATGGCAAACCTCATTCCTTGTTCACAAGCCACTGGCATTATCAGTTCCACAATCATTTTCACTCGGTCTCCTGGCATAACCATTTTTGACTCCTCGTCCTTGTCGTTCATAATCGATGTCACCTTACCGGTGACATCGGTTGTCCTCATGTAAAATTGTGGTCGGTAACCAGCGAAAAAGGGTGAATGTCTACCACCCTCTTCCTTCTTCAACACATACACAACTGCAAGAAACTTGGTGTGTGGGGTAATGGTGCCAGGCTTGGCCAAAACCATCCCTCTCTGGATATCAGCCTTTTGAACACCTCTAAGCAATAATCCTACATTATCCCCAGCCAAAGCTTCATCAAGAATTTTCTGAAACATCTCCACCCCTGTTACTGTTGTGTTTCTAGTTTCCCTCAATCCCACAATATCCACTGTCTCTCCGACTCTAACGGTACCCCTCTCGACACGCCCTGTTGCCACGGTACCACGACCAGTAATAGAGAAAACATCTTCAACAGCAAGCAAAAATGGAAGATCTGTTTGTCTTTCGGGTATGGGAATATAACTATCAACAGAATCCATAAGTTCAAAAATTTTATCCACCCATTCATTTTCGCCTCTAACAATATTGGGGTTAGCCATTAGAGCTTCCAAAGCTAACAAAGCAGAACCAGCAACAATTGGGACATCATCACCTGGAAATTCATAGGACGAAAGCAACTCACGCATCTCCAATTCCACAAGCTCCAGAAGCTCCTCGTCATCAACTTGATCCTTCTTGTTGAGAAACACCACCATATTGGGGACACCCACTTGCTTAGCCAACAAAATATGCTCCTTGGTTTGTGGCATTGGGCCATCAGCGCCCGAAACAACCAAAATTGCGCCATCCATTTGAGCAGCACCAGTAATCATGTTCTTGACGTAATCAGCATGGCCAGGGCAATCAACGTGGGCGTAATGTCGGCTCTCAGTCTCGTACTCAACGGTGGCGGTGTTAATCGTAATACCCCGAGCTCGCTCTTCAGGTGCGGCGTCAATTTCGTCATATTTCTTTGGGGCTTTGCTCAAAGCCATGGTTAAAGCGGCGGTGAGAGTGGTCTTACCATGGTCGACGTGCCCAATTGTGCCGATATTGACATGGGGTTTCTTCCTCTCGAATTTTCCACGAGCGGCGCGAATAGTGAAGGAAGGAGAGCGTTTAACAGTGGAGGAAGAGGAAGAAGTGAAGGTAAGAGGGCGAAGAGAAGAAGGGTTCAAGAAAGAGGAAGAAAGCTTGGTGATAGAGGAGGGTTTGGAGGAAAAGGGCGAAGGAGAGGGATGCGGGAAAGCGAGCTTGGAGGAAGTGGAAGTGGAAGCGGAAGCTAAGGAAATGGCCGCCATTGAAGAGCGAGGAATTCGAGAGAGAAACTGTGGAAGAAGGAAATGGATAGATTTGAGGGAGTGAGGAGAAATGGAGCGTTATCTTGTAGAAATGGGAAGACGAAAGAGAGCCTCAAATGGGCGTTCTATCCATTTCTGCCACCACCACAACTCTTCGGTACCCCCGGGTTTGTGTGCTACTGCTCCAAAAAAGGGCGCCTAGGGCTTCTTGTGAAATTCCTATTTTCTCCCTCTTACAATTTTAAATCACCAAACACTCCTTTTGCGCTGCGGTGTCGTTTTTTACTCCACAACTATCACCACCTCCCGTTTCCTATCGCACCTCCGGTAGCATACACTTTCCGTGCTATTTATTTTATTTTAGCAATATAACAATTATAGTTTTCTTTTTCTTTTCTTTTTTTAGGAAAGAAAAACTACCAACTCTCTTCATCCGAGTAAGCTTTTAATTCTTTCTTTTTTTGGTTAAATAAAATACTCTTTAAAAATTAATATTCCATTTAAAAAATATTCTCCCATCTCCAAAAATTTCATGAATATTTTTAATGATTATTTAAAAATTTAATTTTTTTTAATAAAAATAGAGGGTATTAATGCTAGTTTTAAAATTTTATGATATTTCTTTTAAAATATAGTATTAAGGGGATTTGTGTCTCCCACAAACAACTACACAACAAAGTTGTTTGTTCTTCTTTTAATATGTATATGTATAAAACAAATATCTTAAAAATTTGAAACTAACTTATTAAAGAAGCAAATATATACAATTTAACTAACCGATAATAAAGGGTATAATTTATTTTTATAGTTAACGTGACCGTTGTACTCTTTCGTTCATTTAATAAACATTCTTTTTTTTTCTATTTCTTGTTATTTGATTTTTAAGATTAAAATCAGAAAACGTTTAATACATATCTGGTCTTTGAAAGCGGGTTTGATTCCTTCAACCATTATATATACAGCCACCTCTCTGTTCAGGTAAAAGCAGAGAGAGAGAGAGCAATGGAAACTCTTCTTCTTCAATCATGTCTTCATCCCATTTTGTTCGGTGGTTGCGTCCTTGTCCTGATCTTCCTTCTCCACAAATGGCTGCTTTCCAATCAAAACACATCAAAAGCCTCACCCCCATCTCCGCCAAAGCTTCCAATCTTCGGCCACCTTTTGAAGCTTGGCCGCCTTCCTCATATCACTCTCCAAAACTATGCTCGCCGCTATGGTCCTCTGTTTCTCCTTCACTTGGGCACCAAGCCCACCATCGTGGTCTCTTCTCCCCAACTGGCTCGTGATATCATGAAGACCCACGATCTTACCTTTGCCAATCGACCCAAATCAAGCATGGCTGATAAGCTTCTTTATGGGTCAAAAGATATAGCGATGTCTCCTTATGGTGAATATTGGAGGCGGATGAGAAGCATCGGCGTGCTCCGTCTTTTAAGCCACAACAGTGTCCAATCGTTTCGTTGTGTTAGAGAACAAGAAGTGAAGGCCATGATCGACAACATCCAACACAATCCAATTTCGGTTAATTTGACTGAACTCTTCTCTCGACTGACCAACGACGTGATTTGCAGGGTGGCTTTTGGGAGAAAATATGGGATTGGTCAAGATGGGTCGAAGCTTAGGTCCCTTCTCTTGCAATTTGGGGAGTCATTGGCGAGTTTTATCATTCGAGACTACGTTCCATTGCTGGGTTGGATCGATGGCGTTTCTGGGTTCGACGTCAAAGCGAAGAGGGTAGCCAAAGAGCTGGACGTTTTGTTAGATGAAGTGATTGAAGATCATATTCATTTACAGAACAGAGCAGAGCTCAAGGACTTGATGGATATTCTACTCTCTATCCAAGCAGAGAACTCCACTGGCTTCCCCCTTCAAATGGGGAGCATAAAAGCTTTAATCTTGGTAAGACCCATATCTCCACAATCGTATGATATTGTTTACTTTCAGTATAAGTTCATGGATTTGCTTTGGGCTTCTCCAAGACAGCTCATGCCAATGAAGATGTATTATTTACTTGATATATAATCATTCCCTAAATTAGCTAATGTGAGACTCCCTCCAAAAAAATCCTCCCCTGAAGTCTACGGAGCCCTCGAATAGCCTCTTAATCGAGGCTCGACTCCTTCTTTGGAGTCCTCGAACGAAGTACACCCTTCTGAAGTCTGCCGAGCCCTCGAATAGCCTCTTAATCGAGGCTTAATCGAGGGCTCGACTCCTTCTTTGGAGTCCTCGAACGAAGTACACCCTTTGTTCGACACTTGAGTCACTTATGACTACACTTTCGAGGCTCACAACTTCTTTGTTTGACACTTGAGGATTCTATTGACGTGACTAAGTTAAGAGCATGACTTTGATACCATTTTAAGAGTAACTATTCAATAATGGTATGATATTGTCCACTTTAAGCATAGGCTCACAACTTCTTTGTTCCGACACATGAGGATTCTATTGACGTGACTAAGTTAAGGGCATGACTTTGATACCATTTTAAGAGTAACTATTCTCAACAATGGTATGATATTGTCCACCTTGGGCATAAGCTCTATTGGGTTTGCTTTGAGTTTCCTAAAATGACCATTACCCATGGATTATTTCTAAATTAGGCAACGTATGACTCACTCCCAACGATCCTCGACAGGCCCTGCATCCGTTCTTCTCAAGTTATCAACGTTGTGATTTTGATTACAGGACATGTTTGCAGCAGGCGTAGACTCGACGTACGCAGCATTAGAATGGGCAATGTCAGAATTGTTGAAACACCCAGAAAGCATGAAGAAATTGAAGGGTGAGATGAGGGAAATAATGGGTGGGAAAGGCTATGTGGGGGAGGAGGATGTAGAAAAGATGCATTACTTGAAGGCAATAATCAAGGAAACGTTGCGGCTACACCCACCACTCCCGCTTCTGTTCAGAGAATCGAGTCAATCCATTAAGGTGAAGGGATACGATATTAATCCCGGCACTCGGGTTATGATCAATGTATGGGCCATAGGAAGAGACCCAGAGGTGTGGGAAGAAGCAGAGGAGTTTCGACCGGAGAGGTTCATGACGAGTTCGATGGATTTTAAGGGTCAGAATATGGAGTTGATCCCGTTCGGTGCAGGGCGAAGAGGGTGTCCTGGAATTGCGTTTGCAATGGCAATGATTGAGATGGCTTTGGCGAATGTGGTGCATAAATTTGAGTGGAAGTTGCCGAATGGAGCAGCCGGGGAGGATTTGGACATGACTGGAGTGTTTGGGTTAGCCATTCATAGGGAGTTTCCACTTGTGGCAATCGCAACTTCTTGTTGTTAGAGGGACTCGACGTCGAACCTGAATTATGTGGCGGTGGGTTTTTCAGTGTGTGGTTATAATATAAACTATTACTAAATAAATATGTCATGATTTATATAATCAAACCACATTAATGTTAGATGGTTAGTACGTAGACATAAACTGTTTATCTTCTTCTTCGATATTCTTTTTATAAAATATTATTAAACAAAGCGGATTGACGCTCCAGCACGACACTCCCCTATGACAGTGCAGCTCTTGAGTATCTTCGCACCTCGACCGATACCTGAAAAAGATAGGGAAAGAATGGTGAGTATAAAAAAATACTCCCCTTGTAGTCACTAGTTTCTCTCAAGAACTGTTTAATCGGATTAGAGTGTCAACCCTGTCCTGACTCTACACTCAACTTAGCTAGTTTCGTGATTCTGTAAGTTACTTAAATCATGTTAATGCACCATGGAGGTCTACTAGGTTCTTAGGGTGTTCATTCACAGGACATTCTAGGTTGGTTGCATGAAAATTATAACATAAATCATCCACACAAGCTCAACAGGTAGATGACATTTATCAACCACTTAAAGCACATATCAGAACATCCCTTCCTCTATCATACCACAACGGAAGACATTAAATTAGACATGGTTGTCAAATCTCTTGTTGTAAGGACAATTTGACCCACGTCATACAAGCCATTAGCCAGATGGGATAAGGGTGAGGGGTCGCGTCCTAAACGTGGATGACTTTCTGAACCTAAGAGGTGCCAGCTCACTCCTTTAAGTAAGCACCATATAGTCTCATGAGAGCCCTACATGAGATAGCAGTCAAAAATATTTGTTCTTAAAAATATGTGCGGTGACAATTCTAAAGCCTAGATTCTCAATTTCCTCGGATTTGATTCCTTAAATCATTATATATATACATCCACATCTTTCCACTTCTAAATTAGGCGAGAGAGAGAGCAATGGAGACTCTTCAGACTCTTCTTCTTCTTCCAATTTCGTTCACTGCTTTCGTCCTTATCCTGATCTTCCTTCTGCAAAAATGGCTGCTTTCCAATCAAAACACGTCAAAAGCCTCACCCCCATCTCCGCCAAAGCTTCCAATCGTCGGCCACCTTTTGAATCTCGGCCGCCTTCCTCGTATCACTCTCCAAAACTATGCTCGTCGCTATGGTCCTCTGTTTCTCCTTCACTTGGGCGCCAAGCCCACCATCGTGGTCTCTTCTCCCCAACTGGCTCGTGATATCATGAAGACCCACGACCTCATCTTTGCCAATCGACCCAAATCAAGCGTGGCTGATAAGCTTCTTTATGGGTCAAAAGATATAGCGATGTCTCCTTATGGCGAATATTGGAGGCAGATGAGAAGTATTGGCGTGCTCCACCTTTTGAGCAACAACAGGGTCCAATCATTTCGTTATGTTAGAGAACAAGAAGTCAAAGCCATGATCGACAACATCCAACACAATCCACTTTCGGTTAACTTGACTGAACTCTTCTCTCGACTGACCAACGACGTGATTTGCAGGGTGGCTTTAGGGAGAAAATATGGGATTGGTGAAGACGGGACGAAGTTTAGGTCCCTTCTCTTGCAATTTGGGGAATCAATGGCGAGTTTTAGCATTCGAGACTTCATTCCATGGCTGGGTTGGATTGATGGTATTAGTGGGTTGGACGTCCAAGCGAAGAGGGCAGCCAAAGAGCTGGATGTTTTCTTAGATAGAGTGATTCAAGATCATGTCCATCCAGAGAACAGAGATGAACACAATGACTTGGTGGATACTCTACTCTGTATCAAAACAGAGGACTCCATTGGTTTCCCCCTTGAAATGGACAGCATTAAAGCTGTAATCTTGGTAAGCCCCCGCCTCTGTTCTTCTCAAGCTATCGACTTATTACTTGGCTCACTTTAGCTTGGTTGTGATTTTGATTACAGGACATGTTTGCAGCAGGCACAGTGGTTGGATTTTATTGTACTGTGTGGCTATATCATAAACTATTAGATATGTCCACTCAGACACCGTAGCGGGCTTCAAATCATGAGCTCTTACGTCCGTCCATCGTAACAAGCTCATACTGCATGGGATGTATGAGAATGTTGGGAATCACCACATATGACTAGATTGTTTTATTGCATGTCGTGAGATTAATTGATCTATAAAATGACTAAGTATGCTCCGTGATTGTAACCGCTCAAGTCCACTAATAACAAATATTGTCGTTTTGGGCTTTTCTTTTCAGGTTTCTTCTTTTGAGGTTCTAGCCTACTCCAACCATGCCTTTCACTATCTAATGATACTAGAACAATATCGGCTAGCAGTGAGCTTAGACTATTACAAATGGTATTAGAGCCAAATACAGGGCGACGTGCAATGAGAACGGTGGCCCCCAAGGGGTGGATCGTGAGATATCTCATATTGGTCGGAGAGGAGAATGAAACATAAGCATTTTAAAATCTTAAGGAGGAGTATGAGAGTGAAAACCCAAACAAAACCATATCGGCTACGAATTGACTTGAGCTGTTACAACTATGTACCAAAAGATTACTCGACACAATAAGCTTGCTCAATTGTACATTCTTATAACATACACTTTGACTAAAGTTTTGTGTAAGTCTAACTATACGTTAAATACAAAATAAATAAATAAAAAACGTGTTAATTAGGAAAAAGGGAAATAATTTAGTTTATGTAAATCAGAAAAAAAAATACTATATTTGTGTATACTTCCAATTATTGGTAGAAGAAACATCATTTACGAAATCTAAATCTGTTTTTTTTAATCATAAAGTTTTCAATTAGTCAAAACTTTAATAATAATGCGAAAGCTTTTCTTTTCCCTTAAGATTCGGTTTTATGATATGGGAATAACTTTTGAAATTGCTAAAACAAATGAAGGATAGAGCCATAGTGTATGACCAAAATCGGGTGAGTAAATTGGCAAATCAGTAAGAACAACTTCATTTTGGCTGCGGAGGAATCTTCCTAGAAATTCACCAGCGCCAAGTATAGTACATGAAGCAATCCATTGTATTTGAAACAACCATCACTATCGATTCTTCTCAAACTTACTTCCCTGCCCGTGAACTTCTCCACCATCGACTAATCTCATCGCCTTTTTCGTTTCAATCGCAGTACCCTTGCTTCTCTACTTGTATCTTCTTCAAGAACTAGTTCGGTTCGTTCTCCAAATTGCGCCCTGATTTACAGCTCTGTAAGTTTTATTCCCCTTTTCAACTTCTTATATTCTTCCGTGATTGGATTCTGCTGATGAATTTTTGTATTTGGAATTCTGGATGTTTGATATTTGCTCTGATCTGTGAGGGAATGTGGCTGAAACTTTAAAATGCAGCTGTTTAGGTCGACTTTGTTTAGAGTAATGGATGATTATATTCTCTGCTTATCTCGAGAAATTTAACCCAAATCTTTGTCAAATCAATGAGCCTGAATATTAGCATTGCTTCTACAAAATTCGAGTTTCGTTTTATTTTGAAGGGGTTTGGAATTGGATTGCCTTTTAAGAAATTTGGGTTTCTTGCAAAAGTTCTCGGATTAGTCAGTATCATCTTTACCTTTTGGACTCTTGCTGATTTTAAACCTCTTTTCTGTTTTGGGGTTTGATTTCTGAAATGTTGTCTCCTCAATATGTAAAAACTATGAGATTTTCCACTTAATGATACTTGCTATCACCTTCATTCTGCAGAGTTCTTGTAAAGTGATGGGAGGGAAAAGTTCTAAGCAGGGAAGTTCAAGATACATTTCGTCTATTAGGTCTAGCTCACAGCAGTGGAGTCATTTCGGTTATCCGGAGTCGGCATACGCTCAACCAAGAACCACGCCCCAGTATCAATTTGCTCCTCCGACTCCGGGGTATGGAGGAACTCAGGCCCCAGGGGCAAGAAAGAGGGTGGAGAGGAAATATTCAAGGATAGATGATCACTATAATAGTTTAGATCAGGTCTAGCTGTAATTCGCGTTGTAAGACTTTTATCGACACTATATTTCGATGTGAAAGTTATTTATGTTTATTTGATTCTCTTCACAGGTTACTGCAGCATTGGCTAGTGCTGGCCTGGAGTCTTCAAATCTTATTGTTGGTATAGATTTCACCAAGAGCAATGAGTGGACAGGTTCATCCTTGCTTTGGCCATTCAATGTTATTATCTATCACTTTAATAGCATGCGCACATGCTAATGATGCCTTTTATATAGGTGCAAGATCATTTAACCGTAGAAGTTTGCATCACATTGGAGATGAGCCAAATCCCTATGAACAAGCAATAGCAATTATTGGGCAAACATTATCGTCATTCGATGAGGATAATATGATCCCTTGCTTCGGTTTTGGAGATGGTATTTCTTTGTGCAGTCGATCTATTTTTTGAACACTTATTTGTTTCAAATTAACAAGGGTGAAGTATGTCACTCTAAATGTTGGCAGCATCAACTCATGACCAAGAGGTTTTCAGTTTTTATCCAGACGAGCGATTCTGTAATGGATTTGAAGAAGTGTTGAGCAGATATAGGGAACTCATGCCTCATCTTCGACTAGCAGGTTGCAGTCTGTCTGTTTGCTATTACACTTTTGTGTTAGCTTTTACTTACTATACTTCCATAATTTCATTTCTGGGACAGGGCCAACATCATTTGCCCCTATTATCGAAATGGCTATCACAATCGTAGAGCAAAGTGGCGGCCAGTACCATGTATTGGTAATAATAGCTGATGGTCAGGTACTTTCATCTCTATTCCCACCGACTTCAATTTTGATTGTTTTGGACTTTCATGTTTATAACATATCTTCCTATTTGTTCCCAGATACATAAGAAATGAGAAATTATATAAACAATATGAGTTTCACAATGAGCCATGGAAGTATGGTACCTTTTAATTTGAGTCTGAGAAACAGAAACAAAAATTGCAAGTGCGGCGAGTGTAGATCATAGGCAGAAATAATGTGTCAAAATTTCTAATTTTTGAAGGATGTAGAAATCTTGAGGGCCCTTCTCATTCATTATCATGGCTGATTAAATTGAGAGTTCGGTCAGTTTTATTTATGAACCAATACACTGCTTGTTCAGAAATTTATTGTAACATCCCACCATCCACCCCTAGCAAATATTGTCCTCTTTGGGTTTTTCTTTTCGAGCTTCTCTTCAAGGTTCTTAAAATGCGTCTGTTCGGGAGAGTTTTCCACACCCTTATAAAGAATGCTTTGTTCTCCTCCCCAAACGATTGAGATCTCACAATCCACCTCCTTCGGGGCCCAGCGTCTTCGCTGGCACTAGTTCCCTTTTCCAATCGATGTGGGACCTCCAATCCACCCCCTTTGGGGCCTAGCGTCCTTGCTGGCACACCGCCTTGTGTCCACCCCCCTTTGGGACTCAGCCTCCTCGCTGGCACATCGCTCGGTGTTTGACTCTTATACCATTTGTAACAGCCTACCGCCACCGCTGGCAGATATTGTCCTCTTTAGGCTTTCTGTTTCGGGTTTCTCCCCCAAGATTTTGAAAACGCGTCTTCTAGGGAGAGGTTTCCACACCCTTATAAAGAATGTTTCGTTCTCCACCACAACCGATTGAGATCTCACAATTCACTATGATCTTCGGGGCCCAACGTCCTCGTTGGCACTCATTCCCTTCTCCAATCGATGTGAGACCTCCAATCCACCCCCTTTGGGGCCCAGTGTCCTTGTTGGCACACCGCCTCGTATCCACCCCTTTCGGGACTCAACCTTCTCGTAGCACATCGCCTGTTGTCTGACTCTGATACCATTTGTAACAGCCCACCGCCCACCGCCTACCGCTAGCAGATATTGTCCTCTTTGGATTTTTCTTCAAAGTTTTTGAAACGCGTCCGCTAGGGAGAGAGTTCTTACACCCTTATAAAAAATGTTTCGTTCTCCTCCCCAACCGATGTGGGATCTCACAGTTATCATGATATAATACAAGTTTAATATTAGTGGTAAAGATTGGGCATTATCAGCGAGTGAACAGTGATTTTCATTATTCATGTGGTCTCTAGAGTCTCCAGCCTGTCTGATGTCTGTGTCGGGTACCAACACTGAGCCAAGTTTTTTCATGGTGGCTGAAAAATATAGTTTGTATTCTCTTTGACAGGTTACAAGAAGTGTTGATACTGAGCGTGGACAGTTTAGCTCACAGGAAAAGAAAACCATTGAGGCAATTGTGAAAGCTAGGTAGGTTCAAGTTATCTAAAGTGGACAGAAATGGTGTTGTTCGTATTCCCATACCACGTAACGTCCGTAACTTCATAATGAATTGCAGTGAATACCCCCTGTCGATTATACTAGTTGGAGTAGGAGATGGACCTTGGGACATGATGAGGGAATTTGATGACAATATCCCAGCTCGAGCCTTCGATAACTTCCAAGTAAGTATTGTTTGCTTCTTGAGCTGAACTTGCTTCTGTTATTGTTTGAAGTGTTTAACACAATCTGAGAAATGCTACTTTTGCACTTTGATTCTGCAGTTTGTGAATTTCACAGATATAATGTTGAAGAATATGGATCGATCAAGAAAGGAAGCGGAATTCGCTCTTTCAGCACTCATGGAAATACCCTCTCAGTATAAAGCAACAATAGAGCTTGATATTTTGGGGTAATAACAAGATTGCAGAGTAATATAGTTAAGATTTCTGCAGTTGAATGGTAGTGTATTCTTTTTTAAACCATATTTTCTTCCATTGCTCCACCAGTGCCAGTAGAGGGAAGGCAATCGACCGGGTTCCTCTTCCGCCTCCTCGTTACGGTCCTAGCACCCTAAAGACCTCAAACACGAGCAGTTCTTGCGCAACACCACCCTCAAATGTTGGAGTTGCTCCTGTCCAATCTGCGCCTCCTCTAAGTTCAGTTTCTGATGACCATGTAAATGCTTCTTTTACCTTTGTTTTCATTTTACTTGGTACAATAATTGGAACGGAAATGAAGATTTTTACACTGTCTGATGCAGGCTTGTCCCATTTGCATCACCAATGCAAAGGATATGGCTTTTGGCTGTGGACATCAGGTAATAGCATTGCCAAGTTTTTTATGGCTGTCTGAATGAAACATTACCCAAAAGCAGACTAACCTTCTACTATCTGCAGACATGCTGTGAATGTGGACAGGATCTTGAGTCGTGCCCCATATGCCGCAGCTTTATCCAAACTAGGATAAAGCTTTATTAGCAAAAACTCCCTGCTGAATTCTCATGTCCAACATCAACTCCAGCTTCTTGCTCGAGTACAAGCGGTCGTTGACGTGGTGAGTACGATATCATTTGTAAATATCATTAGTTTTTTCCTCGACGTTCCATAAAATGTCTTGAAATGATGTTTGTTAAGCCTCATGGAAGCAACAGGCGCCTCAAATTCTTTATGAAAACTAGTTCTTGCATTAGTTTGAATGTAATTACAATATCTTTAGTGGGCAGTGAGACTCGACTTCTCATTACATTATCACCAGCTCCATTGAACTCTACCTACCATTTCACATGCGGACTAAGTTGGTAGGCTAACTTTAATTTACTAGTTCAAGTCCACCGCTAGCAGATATTGTCTGTTTTGGTCCATTACTTATCGTTATCAGCCTCACGGTTTTAAAATGCATATGTTAGAGGAGAAATTTCCACTTTTATAAACCACAGTATGGATGGACATTATGTGGCAGATTTGGAGCCTACTTGAGCACCGAACCGATGTGTAGTTGACATGAAAGAAGAGGAGTTTACCTATGAATCTGGAAGTGGCCGGTTAATGGTCAAGCTTGAAAATGGTTCCATTTCAAGAGATATAAAGTTTGTATATTGACACGTGGAACATGTTAAGAGTGACTACTAGGAATATTGGCACTATGAAAATATCTAATAGGAAGAATAAGTGTTAGTTGAGGTACGCTTAAGTTGACAATTCTTGATACGAAAAAATCTAAATCGATATGAATGGAAGATGCCTCTTTCACTTGCTTTTTTCGGTCGAACTGTGAGATTCCATATCGATTGGAGAGGAGAATGAAACATTTTTTTTAAAAGGGTGTAGAAACTTCTCTAGTAGACATATTCTAAAAACTTTGAAGGGAGATTAAAGAAGACAATATCTATTAGCGTTGGACTTGAGCTCTTGCACAACTCTATTAGACCCCATCAATTTCATTGTGGTTAGCTACTCCCAGGTATCTTCTTTGAAGAACTTAGGCTAATATGAGTAGCACTCAGGCACACGTGATTTGACCCGAACACTTATCAATATATAGAAAAATGTTAAGAAATAGGATATGGAACCATCAACTTAATTATAAAGGGCTTGTTAAAAAAAAGGAAAAAGAAAAAGGAAAAGAAAGAAAGATTATGGGCCAAAAAGATTTGAGGCCCAAAAGAACATGAGTGGACTTTGTTGTGTGGAGCCTAAAAATCTGCCGCGAATGTCTGGTCCATTTCATTCTGTTTTTGTTGCGATATTTTGTTAGGCGATAAGAACAGAGAGGCCATCTCTTTCTCTGTTCGCCCACTGCCTCTCTTATCCTTACCTCCTCCGCGTTGCTGTTAGGCCTCTCCTCTATAAACCCTTCTTCCTCAATCCCCTCCTCTCCTCTCCCACCTTCGACTTTCACAAATGGCTTCTACTTCTGCCACTTCTATTTTGAAACCCTTGTCCAAGGCAGACCCTTGCCTTCTATCCCTGCCCTCTGTATTCACCTACAGAGCCCCACAGTCCTTTCTCTCTTTCCCCTCCAAGTTCATCCCCTTTCACCTTTCTTCCTCCCATTCCTCTGTCTTTTTCCCCTCAAAGAAGAAACCCCATCTTTCTTCCCTCATTGCTTCTGTGGCCCAAGAAGACGACACCATCACCATTGACCAGAAACTCGCCGGCGACGAAGAAGGTTGGGAGAGTGAAGGCGAAGCGGTTGGAGGAAGTGAGGCCGAAGGGGGGCTTTTGGAGTTGGGAGAGGACGAGGAAGAAGAAGGGTCTTATGTTGAACCAAACGAAGATGCTAAGTTATTTGTTGGGAATTTGCCTTATGACGTTGATAGTCAAAAGCTAGCAATGCTCTTTGAGAAGGTTGGAACTGTGGAGATTGCTGAGGTGAGTGTTAAGACTTTGGTGAATTCAATGTGATTTTGTTCATTTTGGTTTAAGCTTTTCATCTGGTTGTGTGTGTGGATTGTAGGTTGTTTACAACAGAGACACAGACCAGAGTCGTGGTTTTGGGTTTGTGACAATGAGTACTGTTGAAGAAGCTGAGAAAGCCGTGGATGCCTTAAACCGTTATGTAAGATCTTGATGTTCACTTTATCTTGTACACATGATTCAACAACGATGTGCTCTTCTTGAAACCTTATCTTTATTTTAAACTTTTTTTTGTTGAAGCATTTACCATCAAACTTATCTCTGCATTTAACCTATTGGTTTAATTTTGAGGAGTTTAAATGATCTTCTTTCATGAATCTGAGTGCTTGGATGTGTAGTCTAGGAATTAGCCATTAGGACCAACTTTTGGCTGATGAGTTTGTTGAATTATAGCATGAGTTTGTTGAATTATAGCACCAACTGTAACTTTTTGCTAGTTTGAATGTTTGATGATGAGATTTTTGTCCATCTTTACACATACTGTGAGATCCATATCGGTTGGAGAGGGGAACCAGGGGTGGAAACCTCTCCCTAGCAGACACGTTTGAAAAACTTTGAGGGAAATTTCGAAAGAAAAAGCTCGAATTGGACATTATCTACTAGTAGTGGGCTTGGTTATGCGTGTATACCGAGGCTGCCATTTATTTGTTCTGAGCTTAAAGTTGCCTATGGAGGCCATGTGGGGCTGCTTGTGATGTATCTCAACATATCAATTGGTTTTCTAATTTGGTTGAAATTTTTCTTAACTTCTGCTTGGTACTTGGTAAAATTTGTTTTGTATCTTTCCATTGTCAAATCTACCGTGAAATTCTGAGCATAAATTGTATTTTCTGGGCTTGTAGGACTTATCAGGGAGGCTGTTGACGGTAAATAAGGCTGCCCCCAGAGGTTCTAGGCCAGAACCCACACCTCGAACATTTCAATCCGCTTACAGACTCTATGTAGGTAATCTTCCATGGGATGTTGATAATGCACGCTTGGAGCAGGTTTTCAGTGAACATGGCAAAGTAGTAGATGCTCGGGTTCTTTACGACAGGGACAGTGGCCGTTCTCGTGGCTTTGGCTTTGTTACCATGGCTGATGAAACTGGAATGAATGATGCCATTGCTGCTCTGGATGGACAGGTATGAAAACTGAGTTGCACTTAAACACACAACATAGACAATGAAGTTTGTACACCGATTTAGAATGATTTTTCTAATGCTGAAAAACGTCATTTTAACACTTTTGAACGTTTTTAAAAATCCTTTTTGGAAGTTATTCCAAACATACTCTTCCAGGTTATTGAATCTCATCATCAAATGCTAACAAAAAGTTGTGAAATTTGAATTGTACAGAGTATAGATGGAAGGGCAATCAGAGTAAATGTTGCAGAGGAAAGACCTAGGCGCAACTTCTGAGGTGAACCAAGATGAATCCATGGACCTTTTTCTCTTGTTATGTGTTTACCTTTTTTGTTTCCAGGAAGTATAGGTGAGTTTTTGTAGTGCCATTGTTTAGTCACCTTCGTAAAGGTATAATTTGATGTCATTTATGCCTTTAAAATTTCAGGTCTGTTCTTAATTTGAATCTTGTATGAGTTAAAAGTTTCGTAGTCCATCTTCTTGAATTATTACTCTCTCTGGATGGGACAGTCTTTTTCAATTAAAGTTATTGCATTTCTGAGAGAGATATGGCGTTCACTAGAGAGAGGAGGGGTTACGAGAGGGTCTTTCGTGACCAAAAACAAATGATACAAAAAAAGAATCCAATCAAATTATCAACCCTGTCAATGAAATTTTGCAAGTTCTAACGAGTCATCTTCTGTTTATCGTCTGTGATTGTCGAAAACAAAGGATATAACATCTTTATTTGGACTAAGTACACACATCTAGGATGATATGATTCAATTAGATGCGCAAACGATCTCTTAAAGTTTCTATACAACGTTCTTGATAAAAGCAGCATCTGAATAGGATGAGTAAACTCGATCAGCTGTCACGTAGCTGAGCTTCTCGGCTGGTAAGAGGCACATAACGAACAGAAGTCTCGTTGTGGATGTTAACAGAGCCATCGACATCTTTATCCACAACCATCAAATCCTGGAATATGTTCCCAACTGGAATCACCATTCTCCCACCTGGCTTTAACTGGTCAATGAGAGCCGGCGGAATTTCAGCAGCTGCTGCCCCAACATGAATAGCATCATAAGGTGCACACTCTGGCCAGCCCTGCCTGCCATCTACAACCATCCAATAACAAAGTAACCACAAGCTTTCATTAACAACACACATCATCGAGTAGGACAAACACGCCCTCGAATTAATACCCACATTCTACTTCTGCCATGTTAGAGCTTCTCACCCTCATTAGCCACACAGTTCACCGAAGAACATTGTTAAGATTAAAGTGTGAGCGCTGGGGAGGGAGGTGACACTAATGGATTTCTAAAGGAGAATTGAGCTCCTCAAATTTTCTCATCATCTAGTGTCAGAAGGGGAGAAATCTCGTTTTAGACGGGTTTAGCATGACTTAAGTAGTAGTAAGAAGTTCTTACCTTGGTGTTTCGCTCAAAGGGTAAAGCACTACTTTTAAAAAATATCTCGAACTTAACTTTTACTTTCAAGAATATACCATTCCAGTGCTTAGCGGGTGCAAGATAATTGCTTTACTGTCACTTAACTACATCCTTCACCTTTTTACGGCCAATTAAACTAAGGAACAGAGTTCTTTATTCTAAATCAAAAGAAAAATCTATGGCTCTAGAAAAGGGAAAGAAGACAAACATACCAGCAACGTGTAGAGAGAGGGAACCTTCTTTCAGTAAAGGAGCAGCAGCACTTTTATTAATATTCTCGATTGATGAAGCAACCAGCTCAGGAATATGTTCCACACCAACTGCACGACCTTCAGGTCCAACCATTAACGCAAAGCATGCAGTCAAATATCCCGTTCCTGCCAAGGAGAAATCAAACATGAGAATTCAACTTAAATATATAGGAAGACCGAGGAAGGTCGAGGAAATGGCATTTGAAGTTGAAAATGCAAATTTCAAATGTGAAAAGGTAATAAAGTTGTATCTTTTTAGAGTAACCAACTTGCACTTCCACTTGGGCAGGGCATGTTTAGAGCACACTGAACCCTTGCTGGAAAGACCAGAATCATTCTTCTGCATTTCAATTTCCATCTATTATACCAATTTCTTTTCTTTTCTTTTCTTTTTATTTTCACCCTCACAAGAAATGCTTCATTCTCTTCTTCAACCGATGCGGGATCTCACAATCCACCCCCTTGGGGGCCAATGCCCTCGCTGGCACATCACCCGGTGTCTGGCTTTGATACCATTTATAACAGTCCAAGCCCACCGCTATTAGATATTGTCCGCTTTGGCCGGTTAGGTATCGCCGTCAACCTCACGGTTTTTAAAACGCATCTACTAGGAAGAGGTTTCCACACCCTTATGAGGAATGCTTCGTTCTCCTCTTCAACCGATATAGGGGATAATGTTAACCTTCAACGAAATGTCCAAAGTGATTCTTTTTTTTTACAGATCAAAGAAAACTGCTGATTAGAAATCAAGATTCAGAATGTCTCAAGTCAAACATAATTTAACATTCTTAGGAATTCAACAGTAATGAAAAAATCACCAATTCAATTTTCAGAGCATAGAAGTTTTTAGCTAGATGCACAACCTGAGCCAACGTCCAAAGCGCGCATTCCAGGTTGCAAGTGTTTCTCCAACAATTGAAGGCAGGTTGCATGCATGTGAGGTGCAGATATAGTGGCATTGTAACCTATTGGCAGGGGAGTATCAACATAAGGTGGAGCATCATCCGGCACAAAAAATGCCCTATCTATACTCTCCATTACTTCAGACACCTTCTTCGACCCAACCACTCCATAGTTCTGGAGATTCTTCACCATTTCCTTGTTTGTAGCTATGCCACTTCCACTCCAGAACCTCTGCAATGTGATTTAAAATGACATGGAACGATCAAACTTTCAACCAAAACCAAAAACATAAAACAAAAATTGAAAATGACTTCCTCAGTAGAATCATGCCGACACACACCAATAGAGCACAATTCACAAGGAGTTCCTAAAGCTATCTCCCCATCTCTAAACATTAATTTATAAATCCATCCATCTTCCAACTGATCCTTAGTTCATTCTCATCAACTCAAGTACCTTATCAAGCTCCACAGCCTCAGAAGCAGGGCGGGTTAGGGACGAAAACATATCAGCATAAGATATACTACCAAAACCACTCGAAATAAAACCACATGTATTGGAAAAAAATACCTTGAATGATTAAAACTAACATCGATGAATTTATCAAGCAGTTTCAAAGGGAAAATTTAGTTCTCTACAGACGAAATTCGTATCATAAGAGAGGACTAAACGACAATTTTCAAGCAAAAGATCATATACATGAGATTGAAACAACAATTAAAAATCCAGAGCACAGAGAAAGATGAATTACGAATTCCAATTAAGGCGATATATTACCAGCTAATAATAATCAAAGCCTTCTCCTAGGTGAAAATCCTATACAAAAAGAAAAAGATTTGGGTCGTCCGTGCACATACAAACACAGAATACATTGAATCTCCAATTTCAGAAAACGAAATTTTGTAAAGAAGAAGAGAGAAGGAGAGAGTACCTTCATCCTGGAAAGAAGACAATTACTCGCAGACCGAAGTCGAGGTAAGACGGAGACGATACTGGTGGCGGTGGTTTTAGGGGCAGAAGAACTGATCGGAGGTAGGGCGGTAGGAAATCGGCGGTGGAGAGAAGGGGAGTGATGTAGTAGCGGCAACCATAAGCAAATGGGAGGAAAGATGATTGAGTAACACTCATTTCTCTCTCCGCCCTTCTCGTGTTTTCCAGTTAGCCTCCCCTCTCTCTCTACAAAATCATTATTATTCTATAAATTAATTAAATACATTTGACAGCTGTCAAGTATATATGCATTCAGATCACTGGATGGAACGATCAGAGCCGTTGATGTTCTCACATTAAGGATTTAAGTTCAAATTTTATACAATTATTCTTTTAATAATTGATTAGACATTTTATAAACTCCAGTAGTATGGAATCCTTCATTATTAAAACGTGTGTGTGTGTGTGTGTATATATATATATTAGCCTGTTCTTTTATGTGATCCAATATATTTTTTTAATCCAACCTAGCACTAGTGCGGGTCCCATTAATTTCTTTAAATTTCCTTCTTGCAAATCTACAGATCCTAATAATAATAAAAACATAGGCATAGGTAAAAATATGAGAAACAATGATCGAACTATTCGGCATTCGAGATGGCAATTGGGGTCTGTAATCCCCCATCATTAAGCGATAAAAAACATGAACGAAAACACGTAGCATACTAACATATTAAAGAAGAAGAAGAAGAAGAAGAAGAAGAAGAAGTAGGGCCATACATTGCTTGATGACATTGTCTTGAGAGAATTTAGGCTAGCAGCAACCAAGTAGAATACATTATTAATATCACCTAAAGAACACTACCGATAGCATGAATCTCACCTATCTTCCCTTTGTTCTATATAGCTTTCTCTTTTCTAACGCACACACCTTCCTTTCTTCTAATCACCACATTTATCCATAACCTTATTTCATTTTAGGATAATCATTACCTAGAAGCGATAAAGTTCCACCCTGCTCGCCTGGATGAACATAATAATTCCAAAGCTTCTTTTGCCCCAAACAACACCAAAGACTTCCTAAACTTTGCTCTAAGTTCCCTCCCAGACCAAACAACAACAACAGCAGGCTTCAATGGTATGAAACAGACAATCCTAGTCCCTTTATGAATATATATAATCCATGGAGAAACCAGCTTTCGCTTTTGTTTCAACTCCCCTTGCAAGCAAGGAACTACTTCACGCTGCTTTATTCCATCTCATTATCTTATATAAACCTCTATCAACCAAATCCCAAATCACCAAACACAAAATTCTTCACTGTTTTCAACCCTTTTCTGGTCAGCTAACTCTTGTGTTTAGTTTGCTATGGCATCCCACACTCGCCCAGCTCCCAACATGCATAAACTCATCAAAAATGACAGGAGAATGTTATCCGCCTCTGATGATAATGCTATGACAAAGCAAATTCTTGCAACACATGCTCCCGATGGGCGCATGGTCGATTTCAAGCCGATTCTGTTCACCATTGAGGATGTTATCCGACGTGCCACTCCCGCTATCGGAAACGTTCTAGATGTGAAACCTCTCTCATCTAATCCATTTGGCTTCCTTTCATGCATACTTAACAGTTGAGACTGATGTGTGGTGTGGTGAAATGATGCAGGGCAATGGCCAGCATGAGGATATGTTGGAGGACCACATCAGCTCGGCCGAGATGGATGGCGTGCTTGAATCACTGACTTACGTCATACAAAAAGTCGGAGCCGAGGTCGAAAATATATACATTTGCTCTTTCTAACCGCCATTTCTGCCATGCTTAGGATGTAAAAGCTATTTTTTTAACTTCCTTTTGAGCTTTTTGACACTGAGACCTTTTGAACTTTTGATGTTTCTGTTGTTGCAGCTAGCATGTAAGTGTTCAGGTGGAGATGCACATGCCTCAACTATGGCTATACTGAACTTACTGTCAAATTACTCATGGGATGCAAAAGTGGTGATCACAATGGCTGCCTTTGCTGTGAACTATGGACAGTATTGGCTTTTGGCTCAACTTTACACAACCAATATGCTAGCCAAGGCTCTGGCTCTGCTCAAGCAATTGCCTGATGTAATGGAGAATTCCAGTTCACTGAAACCTCAATTTGAGGCGCTTAACAAACTCGTCAAGGCTATGTTGGACGTAACGAAATGCATCGTTGAGTTCACCGAGTTGCCATCTCAATACATTTCGCAGGACACGCCTGCAATGTCAGTTGCCATAGCTCATTTTCCTACAGCTACATATTGGACCATCAAAAGTGCGGTGGCGTGCACGTCGCTGATTGAAAGCCTCGTCAGCTTGACTCATGAGTGAGTGATGCACTGCAATATACTCAGAAACATCAATCTAAAGCTTGAGCCTAATTTATACTGAAGGAATTAAAACTCTTCTTCACTGATATGTTTCAGGCGGATTATGTCAACCACCGAAGTATGGGAACTTTCGAGCTTGGCTCACAAGGAAACGAATATATACGAGCATCTCCGGACTCAGCTGGATCTTTGCTTACAACACATAGGTGAGCAATATAAAATTTGATAGCAATTTGCAGACCTTTAAGACTGCAAGCTGAAATGAAAAACACTATATGAACAGATGGTAAGAAACATTTGGAGGCCTATCAGAATCTTGTGAGGATTTCAGAAACTCATCATCTAGACAACATGAAGTTCATCAGGGCCTTGATTTCTGCAAGAGATGACATACAGCCTCTCTATGATGGGACCTCGAAAACCACGGTTTGTTCACAAATCCAATATTCTTCAACTACCTATTCTGTTGAATCTAACTTCATTCTAAAGAGGGGGCTTTTTTGTTTTGGCACAAACAGGTTCACCTTGAAATATTGAAAAGGAAACATGTGTTGCTGTTGATCTCGGATCTTGATATCTCCCATGAAGAGGTTATGGTTCTAGACAACTTATTCAAAGAGTCACAACAACGACAGGAAATTCGATATGAGATAGTGTGGATTCCGATCATCGATCAATCGATCGAACAGCAAGGCAAGAATAAACACACGTTTAAGGAGGTGCAAATGATGATGCCATGGTTCAGTGTGCATGAGCCTTCAATAATTGAGCGCTCAGTCATAAGGTTCATCAAAGAAAAATGGAACTTCACAAAGAAGACAATCTTAGTAGCCTTAGATCCACAAGGAAAGGTGTCTTCCACCAATGCCCTTCACATGCTTTGGATATGGGGAAATCAAGCCTTCCCTTTCACATCAGAGAGGGAAGAAGCGCTCTGGAAAACAGAGAGCTGGAGACTCGAACTTCTCATAGATGGCATAGATTTATCTATTCTCGACTGGGTATCTCCATTAACCGAAATCTTTCACCATTTTTTTAAACTTACGCAAATATTTTTGAAGAACGACTGACGAAAGGGGTTTGTTTCTTTTTGTTTCTACTTTCATCAGGCGGCAGAAGGAAGATACATTTGTCTATTTGGAGGGGAAGACATGGAATGGATCAAGGAGTTCACAATGAAAACAAAACAAGTAGCAGAAGAAGCAAAAGTAGACTTACAAATGGCGTATGTGGGGAAGAACAATGCGAAAGAACGCGTCAGGAAAATCACCATCATGATTGGAGAAAACAAGCTCAGCCATTACTGGCCAGATTCCACATTGATCTGGTTCTTCTGGGCAAGATTAGAGAGCATGATGTACTCAAAATTAAACCATGGAAGAACAGTTGAGAATGACCAAATAATGCAAGAGATTATGACCCTTTTGAGCTTCGATGGAAGTGACAAAGGGTGGGCCATTTTCTTCGGAAGAGGAGGGGAAATGACAAGAGCCAAAGGAGAAACTGCTCTTGGTTGCATATTGGCATACGAGGAGTGGAAAACAGAGGTGGAAGAGAAGGGATTTCTGACGGCGTTGGCTGAGTATCTGCAGCAACTTCGAACCCCACATCACTGCAACCGCCTGATTCTGCCGGGACTGGCCGGAAACATACCGGAAAACGTGGTGTGTGCAGAGTGTGGAAGGGCCATGGAAAAGTACCTGATGTACCGATGCTGCGTGGAATGATTAAACCGAAATGGAAGAAGGGATATGGGAAGTTTGTTTGTTTGTTTGTTTTCCAGAAATCTTTTCAGGCAGTTTATTTTGGAAAAGTTGTCTACTTTGATTGAGTTTTGTTGTTTCTTCATGTTGGGTATGCGTTTAAAGAGATCTCTCCATGTACTGTGTATGGTGGAAGATCAAACCATAAATAAAGCTTTATCATTTCTTTCTCTCTGTGTTCATGTTCAGACCTGCAAAAAAAAAAAAAAACAGAACAGTCTGCAGATTCTGTGCCTTTCTCTTACGAAGACACTGTTTTAATCCCTCGTTGGGATTGCCTTTTATCTACTTTTGAAAGAGAGAGAGAGATTAGAACCAAGATTTCCACTTGCCTTCTTTCGAAATATTTGAAGTAAAGTTATAAGTACACGTAATCTCTTTAATTATTTGCTCTCTTACCTTAAAATTCATTAGCTACAAATTAAAATATTGTAGCTACGAGGCACAATCTTCCCTTTCTTTCTGTAAATTTCCAATCACTATCACAATGCTCACATTTAATTTACTTCTCCCATGTGGGATGTGCATGGATTTTTTGAAAAAGCAACAATAATAAAGAGTGGAATGTGCAGGTGTGGGGCCCGTAGACAATGTCCATTCCGAAGCATTTAAGACAGTCAAGTAGATCCAACGGGTGATAATAGGTAGAAGACCAGAGCAGTTAGGCCCCTCAAATCTCAATCCGTTGACTTGTGCATCCCAAAACGTGTAGTTTGCTCGTACACTTGGACAAGGTTTCCAAGTTTTGTGAATTATATAAATCGTGATTTTGAAGGCCGGGTCATTTTACATCTGTCGTTTCAGACGGGCAGAAGAACAAAAATCTTACCTTTTGATAACCTTTTGATCTGGTTCCCAGTAGCATCCAAAACTTCTACCGAATTGGGAACATGTCGATGTCATTTTCAAACACAACAGTAAATGTTTTTTTTTTTTTTTTTTTTCAAAGGACTATTTATTTATTTATTTATTTTTAATAATTAGAGTAGCAATTTGGTTTATAATTTAAAAATATATTCTCTAATCTACCCCTTGTTCCAAAGTTATATAGGGTGGCCTTTGTACTTCCCCCTCTCAAATTTCTAACCGCCTGAAAATGGAAATCACACCAATCACCCTCGGGGATTCTGTCGTGTTTGTGGAAAGGGTGAACAATTTAACTGGGCTCCACTGTTCCTAGTGCGATCCTGGATTCCATTTAATACACCCGCCTGTAGAGAAGAAGAACACGTCCATCCTTACTCCCTGCCTGCAACTCTATTCACACGCCGCAGGAGAATGGCATTCCCTGCCTCCAAACTCCTTCCCTTCTTCGCTTTTCTCCCCCTCCTCCAAGTCTATGCCCGACCGAGCCTTGATCTTTCAGATCTTAGAGCCTTTAATGTCATCAAGAATGACTTGGGCATTGACGCTCAACTCTCCTCCTCCCCATGCGACCTCGCCGGTGTCTTCTGCCAGCGCCGGCTCTCCGACAATGAAACTTATGTTTTGAGGATCACCAGGCTCATTTTCAAGTCCGAAGGTCTTACCGGTTCTCTTTCTCCGGCTATTGGGCGACTGACGGAGTTGAAACAGCTTACGGTTTCTGACAACCACCTCGTTGGCCACGTACCTGCACAGATTGTTGACTGCCGGAAACTGGAAATTCTCCATCTCCAAAGCAACCAGTTTTCTAGCAAAGTTCCATCTGGGTTGTCCTCGTTGATTCGCCTTCGAGACATGGATCTTTCGTCCAATAAATTCTCGGGGAGTTTGGATTTCTTGAAGCATTTCCGCAACATGGAAAGTCTTTCTATTGCCAATAATTACTTCACGGGGAAGATCCCAGCTTCAATTCGGTCTTTTCGCAATCTTCGAGTCTTCAACTTCTCTGGAAATCGCCTTCTCGAAAGCTCAGCCCCTGTCGTGAAAGGCGTCGAGCTCTACTCGGCAACCAGTGTCCTCAAGCGTTATAAGTTAGCTGAGAATTCCACTACGAAAGGTAAGCCCAGTGCCGTGGCCACAGCGCCAACTTCGAGTGCTCAATCTCCATCTCCCGCAGCATCCCCTCATAAGCATCGGAAATATAAAGCAGGAAAGGTATTAGGTTGGCTACTTGGATTGCTCGCAGGAGCAATTGCTGGAACTTTGTCAGGGTTTACCTTTTCTCTACTGTTTAAAATCATCATAGCAGTTATAAAAGGTGGAACCAAGAATTCGGGCCACTCAATCTATGCTCCTAAGCTAATAAAACGAGAGGATTTGGCTTTTCTAGAGAAAGACGATGTGCTTGCATCACTCGAGATGATTGGTAAAGGTGGATGTGGAGAAGTTTACAAGGCCGAATTACCAGAAAAAAGCGGGAGAATGTTTGCGATAAAGAAGATAGCTCAACCCCCAAAGGATGCGGCCGAGTTAGCTAACGAGGAAAGCAAGTTTATGAACAAGAAAATGCATCAGATCAAGTCAGAGATTAGAACTGTGGGTGAAATCCGGCATCGGAATCTTCTTCCTCTTGTAGCCCATGTACTCCGTCCCGACTGCCACTACCTTGTGTATGAATTGATGAAGAATGGCAGCTTGCAAGACATGTTGAATCAGGTTTCGGCAGGAGCGAAAGAACTAGATTGGCTTACTCGCCATAAGATTGCTCTCGGAGTGGCATCTGGGCTGGAGTATCTTCACATGAACCATACCCCACGTATTATTCACAGGGATCTGAAGCCTGCAAATACTTTGCTCGACGACAACATGGAAGCTCGAATTGCTGATTTTGGGCTAGCAAAAGTAATGCCAGATGCTCAAACTCACATGACGGCTTCCAATGTTGCAGGTACCGTAGGATACATCGCACCAGAGTATCATCAGACCTTAAAGTTCACTGATAAGTGCGATACGTACGCCTTTGGGGTTCTGCTAGGGGTCTTGGTAATTGGGAAACTTCCATCTGATGAGTTTTTCCAGGACACGGATGAGATGAGTTTGATCAAGTGGATGAGGAATGTTATGACTTCGGATAATCCTAGGAGAGCCATTGATCCGAAGCTCCTGGGAAATGGCTGGGAGGAGCAAATGCTCTTGGCCCTCAAAATTGCCTGCTTTTGCACTATGGATAATCCAAAAGAGAGGCCTAACAGTAAGGATGTCAGATGCATGCTATTACAGATCAAGCATGATGTACCTAAAACTCCCTCTTCTCGGAACATCTAAAATAATAATGCATGCAAAAGAATGTTATCTGCATTTAAATTCTACTTCCATATATTAATATATCATCTACTTGTATCTTCCAATGCACAACCAAACAGTCAATTTTGGATATAAAATAACAAAGTTTAAGAAAGTTGAGTATCGTTCACCGGATACAGAGCGACAACTTACAAGAACCAGGAAGAAGAGGTACTACTCCTACAATTCAGATTGCAACTAAGACACTTATCAATCTCAGTAAGCCATTTCATAAAATACCACGCATAAGCTATAGAACAACTTCAATATTATATACAAAACATCATAACGTAGTAGTTTTGATTTAAGGCAGCATGAATCCTCTGGCATCCAGCAATTTGAACCCTGGATAGCATTCTAACGATCTTTTCTACAACCACAGTACCATATCTATCATTGACGTTCTGGTGGCTTTTACTTTTCTGCCCCAAAAAAATCCCTGGACAGGAGCACAGTACTTCAAAATTTTGAACAGAAGTTCATATTTTCCGTCTTTCTATTTTTCTACTTTTCTATTTCTTATTTCTCCTTTACGAAAGAAAGGCTTTGTCTTTCTATCACGTACTAATGGTGATAAATTATTTGATAGCAGAAGAACATGAATCAAACAGACTCATACCATACAACTTCTCTTATTAGCTGCTTGATCCACCAGGAGAAAACATTTTTAAGCCGACCTTGGAGAAATACCTTACAAAAACCATTGCAGCTAAACATTCCAGCGAGAGGAATTTCAAACTTCATTTGTAGAGAAACTTATGCTCACGAAAACAAAGCTGCATCCTGATTTCTACTTCCATAAATTATGGTATTTGTATTGAGATCAGAATAAGACTACAAAGTTGGAAGAAATTTGTCAACTCTCCCCAATGGCAAAGTACTTGAAACATGTGTTGATGAAAATGGAAACGTTCATTTCATCACTCAAGAAAAGGACAAGGTGAAGTATTCTAGAGAATTCCATTTATTTAGAGTTATTCTGTATATTTTATTTTGAAGCCTATTAAGTTGTGTCACGTTTCCATCTGCATATGTACTTCTGCCTATGTGCATATGTTTGCCAGGAGAAATGTGCGTAAAATTGGTGAAATCGTGAGAACTTAAGAACTAACAAAAGCATTCTACGATTTACCTAAGCACCGCTGACATTGAAACGTAAAACTATGACAAGTATGCTCACGAGAGAAAACAGTGACAGTTAAACAGAAATTTATGAGAAAAACTATGGGAAGGGGAATCACCTCGCAATCCATAACATCAGAACTCTCGTTTTTCTCGCACTCTGCAGAAATCCGAGCACCAAAGCAAAAACGAAGAAATGATCAGAAAGGAGAGGAAACAGAGAGAACGAAAATTTGAAAGAAAAAATAAATATAGAAAAACAGAAGGAAAGCGTGATATGAACCAAGTGATCTTCTGCTAAACTCAAGCTTGAAGAAGGCGATAATCAGATCCTGTAAATTATACCAACAGCTAAAAAAAGGAAAACATATACGTAGTAGACATTTAAGAAAACAAAAGAATCATTGAATTGAACTCCAAGTCAAACAATAGATACTGGAGATGAAGGAATTACAGGATCGAATGTGCTCTCCTCCATGGCGAGAGAAATTGGCGACTGCGAGTGGGACTCCGCAAGAAGCAAGTATCAAATTTCTACGTGATTTGTTCTTCGATTGCCGCCAATTTTAGGTTTTATATGCATCTACTTTGGGCTTATGACTTTCAACGCCTTTCATTCGGCCTTAAAATTGGGCCCAAAACACCTCTCTCGTGCATCAGGTCTATATTTAAAATTGGGCCCAAAATTTGAATGCCTTTTTTTACTTTTCAATAATAATATAAGGTATAATTAATGAGAGAAGGTTAAACAAAAAGGGGATTGTGGAGGGTCCGATTCCCGTGGAGGAAGCTGTGTGGGGCACCAAACACTAAGGCGGCCACCACACTTGGCCTTGCGTGGAGCCGCTTCCTCTCTCCCATCCCAATTAATTCTTTTTTAGGCTTAGGGTTCATAGGTTCAATTCACATTTATTCCCATTCTCTCCCCTTTCACACCACATTATAAAAATTAATTCAACTAAATAATTTATTTCGTCTCTCATGTGGGAGCTCTTTCTAAATGATATTTAAATATACAAGGTAATAAATTATTGATCCTCTCTCGTTCCAAAAGTGGGCCTCCTTTTATGCATGGTAAACATTCGTGGGAATTGTGTAACGTTTATGTCCCCTAATTTAATTCTATTAACCCGATTGATAGGGGTGGAAGATGACTTGGCAGATGAAGTTTTTACTTTTTATTGCACGTGGAACACTCATTTCGGTCACGGTAATGAAAGAACTTACCCCTCCCTCGCCCAGTCATTTTCCAGCCCTGTCAATCGATGCCACCTCACACAGTAACTGCCTCTTGCCACGTGGAAATTCTCTTTATTTCTATTCAAATATACACACATATATGGAAAATAAGTAAGCAAATAAATAAATAAATAAATATAGAATGGTCTATTTCCTTGCGCTTTGCGGAAAGGGGTGGGGTTCCAAATCATAGGGACACGAGTAACGAAATGGGACAGCCTGTCAACCCGTTTTCAAAGTTTAAAAAATATATTTATTTATTTATTTATTTTATTAAACCATCTCATTTAATATATCCTTCCCTTCAACATTACTCTATCTACCTATCATCAATACTCATCCTATATTTTCACTATTTTCCTAATTAATTAATTATTCAAATGTCATCTAATTTCATACCATTCCTCAAAGCTAGACCTTTTTTCAAATTAAAAATAAAACAGTTTAGGATGAAATTCAATATTCTTACAATAAATAAATATAAGTATTACTTTTACCTTTTCTTTATTTACCGTTACTTTCTTTTTTTTTTGCTTTTCATCAAAGCATTCTTTTTATCTATTATTCTCGAGATTGCAAATTTTGAAAATTGAACTTGCTGGTACGTTGTGTAAATTTTACATGTATAAAGTAATATTTTTTTCTTTATATATATATATTTTTAACTATGGTATGGAGACATCAATTCAATGAAAACTAGTATGGTAATAAAATAATAAATAAATTTAAAATTATATAATTCTGTATATGTATAATCATTGTTAATATTAATTGCTAATAGTGAAACCAAGTTTGAATTTAAATAAATTGTCTAACAATTAAGAATCATAATATATTCAGATATTATATTTGAAATAATTGTAAAAAGAATTGAAACGTGTTAATTTTATTTTACTGCACAAATTGAAAAGAGATGAGAATGTAAGAAATATTCAAACATTTAAGTCAATTTCAATCAATCATATTCCAAATTCTTTGTCTTAACTATTCAAAAGGGACGTTGAAAATTTGAAACACAAGGAATTTAATTTTTGACAAGAGATAGAAAACGAGACTTCAGTAGTAGTGTGAGATCTCATATGTGTTGGAGAGGAACGAAACATTATTTGTAAAGATATGAAAACCTCCTCCTAGTAAATGTGTTTTAAAATCGGGAGACTAACGATAATATGTAACAAGTCAAATTGGACAATATTTGCTAGGGTAGGCTTGACTATTGTAAATGGTATCAAAGGATTATGTGTAATGGAGAACACTGAGCCCCAAGGAACGAACGAATTTTGAGATTGTGCATCAATAAAAGTGTTAATAGATGTGTTTTAAAGTTTTGTTCTAGGTAGGAAGAATGTGTGGGCAAGAAGAAGGTAAGATGGATGTTTCCATGACACTGCAGATGCCAGAAGCGGTTCCCTTGAAATAAACAAGTGTACAAGAACAATAGACCAAAGTCTTCCCTTCGCTCTGCCTCTGTGCTCTGAAGCTCTCCCCGAGACAGATAATAACACGTACTTTTCGGAGAAGGAAGCTAAGGAAAAGCAAATCAAAGCAAAGCAGAAAAGGAAAAGCTAAAGAAACTGCAACAATTACTACAAGAGTATGTGTAGATTTCCCCTCTCCCTGTTCTAAAATCCTTGCATCGCATCTTCCACTACCTTCCCCGATTCCCAATCTCACACAGCCTCATGGGTGGGGTTACTTCTTCCATGGCTGCCAAATTCGCCTTCTTCCCTCCCAACCCACCCTCTTACAAGCTCCTCAAAGACCAACCCACTGGCCTTCTTCTCTTGGACCCTTTTCCCCACCGCGAAAATGTCGATGTCTGGAAGCTTCCCACTCGCAAAGGCACTGAGATCGTCGCTGTTTACATCCGCTACCCTATGGCTACTTCTACGCTTCTTTATTCCCATGGAAACGCCGCCGATGTTGGCCAGATGTACGAGCTTTTCATCGAGCTTAGCATCCATTTGCGCGTTAATCTTCTCGGGTATGTTCATTTCTGTTTCGTTTCTTCTTCGTTTTGTACATTGTGGTGTTAATTCGAGTGGCCATTTTCCTGATAATCGGATAGGTCAAGGAGTTTCTTGTATTTGTGTGTTTTTGGCAAATTAGAGGCGAATTATCCTTGCCCATTTGTTGAATCTGTGGTTTTATGGCTCTGGTAGTGAGGGATTGGGATTTTTAGGTTCTTGCTGGAAACTAGATGTTCGTTTACTTTATTGTAAGGTTATAATGTTTGGTTCCTTTTGATTGTTAGTGGGTTCGTTGCTTGAGTATTTGAAGTAGAATTAGGTTCGATTGAGCTGTTGAAATGGTGATCTATGGCAGATCTGAATTTTGGAAGATGGTTGTGTTGGTGCTAATTTGAATTCATTCTTCCTTAGTTGCTACCCATAGTACTCTTGTTCTACCACGACAGGTCGAACATGAAACCCCGTCGTACGAAACCAAACTAAATTCAAATGTTTGAATGAACTTGTTCCCAATCTTCCTGACAAAGTGAAATGAGAAATCTAAACCAAATCCTCAGAATTTACAGCACCATTGTGTGCTGAAGACCAGAGACGACGAGTGTGGTAGCTGAGTCGGTTTGAATATAATCAAGCCAGCGCGAACCACTTTTTTCCATACCTGTTTGCTTGATTTGTTTAGGTAGACATAAAAGAAAAGGCAAACGTTGTTTGCTGCATATTGGTTTGTTATATCTTTGTTCATTGGGACAATTTAGATCAATACTGTTTGTGAAAGTCCGATGCGGTTATAGGATGATGAGATGCGCGATTATTCATTGAAACTGCGAAAATTAAGCCGAACTTCGTCTTGAAACTCATGCAGGTACGATTATTCGGGATACGGGCAGTCCACTGGAAAGGTAACTGCAGCAAATCATTTCTGCTTCAAATTTCAGTAGAGGTTAATCTTGTTTCATTCATATGCTTTTTGCAGCCAAGCGAACACAATACTTATGCAGATATTGAAGCTGCATATAAGTGTCTTGAGGAGAAATATGGTGCTAAGCAAGAGGAAATAATCCTTTATGGTCAATCCGTGGGAAGTGGCCCGACTTTAGACCTTGCTGCACATTTGCCCCGACTACGAGCAGTCGTTCTGCATAGTCCTATACTATCGGGATTAAGAGTCATGTATCCAGTGAAGCGCACGTACTGGTTTGACATCTATAAGGTTTGATATTGTTTGTTGATAACACGAGCTACCCGTAATAGTTTTGTCTGATATTAGGGAGTCCTAATGTTTTTCCCTTGATTATCTGCAGAATATTGATAAAATACCATATGTTAAATGCCCTGTGCTGGTAATTCATGTAAGTGTTTAGATCTTAAGATCTCATGTTATCAATCATTTCAGCAACCATTTTTCTTACTCCGACTTTGCAATCCGGTGTTGTTTTTGTTTCTAGGGAACATCCGACGACGTCGTTGATTTCTCTCACGGTAAACATCTCTGGGAGCTATGTCAAGAGAAATATGAACCCTTATGGCTCAAAGGGGGAAACCATTGTGATCTTGAACTCTTCCCTGAATACATCAGGCACCTCAAGAAATTCGTATCCACTGTTGAGAGATCGCTCTCACGAAGGAACGGTTCGAGGAAAAGCACAGACCGAATCGAGCAATCAAGAAGGAGCACGGATTGTTTCGAGGCCCCGAGAAGGAGCTCAGACAGGCGAGAGAAACCAAGGAAAAGCGTCGATAGGCTAGACAAATCAAGACCTCAAGGATACAAGTTTGACAACATTGAGAAGCTAGAGAAGCTAAAGATCTCAATTGACCAAGTAGAGAGATCAAGGAGAAGTGTGGAATACTACGAGAAACCGAGGAGAAGCATCGACCAACAGTTCGAAAGAGGTCGAAAGAGTGTGGATTGGTTGGATAGAATGCGCGCCGGGTAGAGGTTCGGGTTCAGGGTGGTTCCCTGATAGAAGAAAGGGGTGGTGGTATACAGAGAAGATTGGGAGAGAAGTGGTGCTGCTGGGGATTATTCTACCTCTAATTATTGAATTCTAAGAAACAAATGTTTATAGTTTGATTCATGGGAATTCATTAGCTTCCACCTTTGATTGTTAATACAGCCAAATCATTGTTGTTAATCCCCTCATAAGTGAAGCTCTGATATCTCTTATGGACTCCTTCAATTTCTGATGTCTATTAATTCTCATCTTAATTTTAGAACAATACTTCAATTAATCATAAAATTCTTGTTCTTTTGATTAATTATGTATACCATTTTATTTTGCTTTTAAAAAAAGAAACGATCTTCAAATCCGGATTTAATTTGATTAATGAGATTTTATTTATTGATTAACCTAAGTATTCAACTCATTTTCACCATATAATTAGTTATCGCTCGTCTTGAGAAGATTTTTCTGGTCTCTAAAGTCAATTTTTATGTTTTGGTTAATCTGAAAACGTTTTATTGGAAGAGTTTGATTTTGAACGAAAAGGAAAGATCCCTGATTTGTTGATTCTGTAGCGCAAAAAGATGAGGAATTGCAAAAATTAGGGTGAGGATTTTGCTTTATTTGTAATTCAAATGGGGTGAGGGCGAAATGATTCTGTTTCTGATTTGCTTCGATCGATCATAATTCATAAGTAGGTTTTTGCAGAGGGCAATCGACTATGATCATGTCCCCAAACGAGATAGCAAACAATGCGATCAGGCACGCTCTCAGGGCGCTGCGCCAACGCCATCTAGTTGAAGAAGGTGCGCATGCTCCCGCTTTTCTCGCTCTCTCTCGGCCCATCATATCGCAGGTCTCCTGTTCTCTCTGAATTTCATTTGATTTCAATTTCCCTGCACTTTAATTTCGTCATCTTTAATCAAAATTTACCTAATTGCGACCTCTCGTTGTTGCGCACTTTGTAAAACTTCTTCCCCTTGCTCTGATTACTTCCGATCGTTTTATTCTATGAACATCCCCTTGTGTTTGGGTATGGCGTTTATGTTGCTTCCAGAGTTCGGAATGGAAAGAGAAAGCAGAGAAGCTGGAGTTGGAGCTTCAGCAATGTTACAAGGCTCAATCGCGATTGTCTGAGCAACTTGTGGTGGAAGTGGCTGAGGGTCGAGCTTCTAAATCTTCGATTGAGGAGAAAGATGCGACGATTGATAATCTGCAGCAGGAGTTAACTCGAGCCAGGTTTTCCCCTTTTCACTCATAACTCTGGGCAGGTTCTTGGGGATTGATTTGAAGAATTCAGTTCAATATATTTTTGTATGAATGTTTGAAACTTCTTACGTGCTTCAGGGATGAATGCTCCCAGTTAAAGGCAGACTTAGAGATGAAAATTAAAGCCATGGAACTGGCTATATCTGAGAGCCAAGAACTTAAAGCACAGCTTGAAGCAATGACGATTAAAGCTAAGAATACAGAGGCTGAAAATAATATGTTGATTGACCGGTGGATGCTGCAAAAGATGAAGGATGCAGAACGCCTCAATGAGGTTCTTTATGTTTTTGTTTTCTGTTTCCAAGTCCGATGGGTTGAAAATTAGAATTTAGTCATTGTTCAAATGAATGCTAGGAGCTCTAGAAGTGGTAAGAAGTCGTAATTTGATCTTTGAATCATAATCATGCTCCACGAGTATATTTCGTTCACATGCTTCAACATGTAATGATGTTGTCGATTTGTCTTGCTTATCTTTTTTAGTTTGTTTGCCTGGATGTTTATTATAATGTTCACGGTCTGAATTGTTAAGTGTTTCAGATAGAATAATCTAAAGCATTAAATGGAAAAAGTCCATTTGATATGCTTAATGCTAGAATGCCTCAGATCTTTTTGAGCGATTGCCGAATTTGAACATGTTTTTGAGTTTGTCTTCGTTGATATTAACAAAGCACTACTTTCACAATATGTAGATGTTTATACTTCTATTCATTTCTGTCCGCTCCTTGCTTGACTTGAACTAATTAACAATCTCGGATCTTGAACAAAGATGCATATAAATTTATGTGTAGATCTATCCTTTCAGCTGTTAAGTTTAGGCAAGTTAATATGTATGCACAAAGCGGAAAATTGTTATTGTTAGTTCAATTTAGGGACAATGTCTGCCAATGAATTCTTGTTTTCCAAAATGAAATAAATTCTCCCTCCTACTTAGATTTTGAGTATGATTGGGCCCTGTTGTGGTAGAACTTGGTGAACCGGGCATACTACTTCCCAACCTTCTAGGAACCTTGATTATCTTATGATTTAAGCTATTTTCTTTTTCTTATCAAAGTGATTGATATCATTCCATCCAAAAATCCAAACGTGAATGTAAATTTCTTTTGTTCTTTATCAGGCAAATGCACTCTATGAAGATATGATTGACCGACTCAAGGCTAGTGGTTTAGAGAAACTTGCTCAGCAACAGGTCGATGGTGTGGTCCGTCAGAGTGAAGAGGGTGCTGAATACTTCGTAGAATCCACCGTACCCTCTGTATGTAAGCATAGTATCCGTGCGCATGAAGGGGGCTGTGGTACTATTTTGTTTGAAAACAATTCAGGAAAGTTGATCAGTGGGGGGCAGGACCGAACCGTAAAAGTGTGGGATACAAATACTGGATCACTAAGTTCCACTTTACATGGGTGCCTTGGTTCTGTTCTTGATCTTGCAGTTACCCATGATAATAGATCTGTCATTGCAGCAAGCAGTTCAAACAACTTATATGTGTGGGACGTTGGTTCTGGAAGGGTGCGCCATACGCTTACTGGTCACTCCGACAAAGTATGTGCTGTAGATGTAAGCAAAATCTCGAGCCGACATGTTGTGAGTGCTGCATATGATCGCACCATCAAAATCTGGGATTTACAGAAGGGTTACTGCACTAAGACGCTCATTTTCCCCAGCAATTGCAATGCAGTTCGGTTCAGCATGGATGGACAGACCATTTGTTCTGGGCATATGGATGGAAATCTTCGGTTGTGGGATATCCAAACAGGAAAATTGCTCAGCGAAGTTGCTGGACACTCCCTTGCTGTTACATCTCTTTCTTTGTCACGTAATGGCAATACGATATTGACTAGCGGGAGAGATAACTTGCATAATTTATTCGATATTCGGTCTTTGGAAGTCTGCGGGACATTACGGGCATCTGGGAATAGAGTAGCTTCCAATTGGAGCCGTTCTTGCATCAGCCCAGATGACAACCATGTTGCTGCTGGTTCCGCTGATGGATCTGTCCATGTCTGGTCAATATCAAAGCATGATATTGTGAGCACTCTGAAAGAGCACACTGCCTCTGTTCTGTGTTGTTCATGGAGTGGGCTTGGGAAACCCCTTGCGTCTGCGGACAGAAATGGAATTATATTTACATGGAACTGAAATAGCATCCACTTGTTTCCCACTTGATGTACAGAAAATAGAGTTGAGTGCGATAAAAGTTATTTGTTTATCATCTTTTATTATTCATCTCATCCCGATTCTGCTCCAAACATAATGATTTCGATTCATTATTGAAACTGGATGGCTAATTCTATGTTATTCCATTTTGTTGTTCAGTTCATGAGTTTGTTAGTGTTCTTGATATCTGCTGCGTCCTCATTATTAATCAGAGTCTGGTGGCCGGGCAAGACTTGCTATTGATTTGATATGATCATGGCTAACAATGTATTGTTCTGTTGCAGGACAAGTTGATACACTTAAAAAGTTGGGAACAATCAATCTCATTCTTATGGTGCATAAGGTTTGTAATCTTTCCATTATCATATCATCTCATCTCATCTGATCATAGTGTCTTGATAGCTCTACTACTCGATTGATTTTCTTTCAACTCCAGCCATGTTTTTCCTGAAATTGTTTCCAAAATTTAGACTTGCGTGGATTAGGTGAAGATACTTGTACCTTGAATGATTATCAACTAAGATTGAAGAAATCTTTACAATGGGTTCTCGTGGTAGACCTATGCTCGATGTTGGCCTTTGAGTAGACACTTGACTGGTTCCAAACCATCAATAAATACAATTAAATTACAGTTTCAAAGCATTTACGAAGTTAATTGCTTTCATTCTGATTAGGTTTAGTAATAAAATAGGCCTTCTTGTTGGAGCCGGCCCTTGGAATCCTTAATTGCTTCACTTACTCCTACCCTTCCATTTGCCTTTCTCCCATTACTTACTTATCCTCGTTTCATCGAATGGAATCAACCCGAGTCGTTATATGATGTTTTATCTTTTTAAATCATCGTATCCTCAAGTTTACTCTCACTCATATTTGATTTCAATCTGTTCATAGTACTCTTCACGATGATACGAATATTAGTTTCTTGTATTAAACTTTTGGGATATAAAGAAAGAAATTAAGGAATAAATCATCCCAATTTTGTTGATGCTTATTCTGCTGACATGTTGATTAATTACTTTTTTCAAACAAGAATGGGCATCACCATAGTTAATTGTACTTTGACATCTTCTTTACAATAATACAAAAACTGTCTTTTCGAGTATATGTTTTTAATCACGCAATTGCAAATGTCGCAGACGCCTTTAATTGAATGTGACTTTTGGACTGCGACTACCTAAACAATGTTTATTTTTGTAAGCATTACTATTGAATAATACTCCAACAAGTGAGTTGAATTAATTTTTTTTTTTTTAATTATTAACTCAAAAAATTTAGTTGATTATTATTTAAAATTATTTAATTTTTTTTTAATGCCCTTAAAATCACATAAAATTCAAATATTAAATATTTTAAATTTTTGTAACAATCTTAAAAATAAGTGTATATTGATTTGAGTTGGGATGTGAACTTTATTTTTAATACTCAACTAAAAAAAACTTGAGCGAATTTTCAATTTTAAAAAATTTAAATAAAATCAATAAAAAAAATCATATAGATGCTCATGACTATACCAGCTAATAATAGTATTTTATAGGGAAAAAAATGATGTTAAAAAAACTACAAAATTAAATGAAATAACACGAAGAACACTTTTTTCCAGGACTATGGAATGAGATTACATAGGCCTTAGAGAATTAAATAATTACATAAAATAGACTCTCACCAAGCAAGCAGAAAAAGACGTATTCTTGTCGGAGTTACTGTACCAACCAACCAACCGTTATGGTTCCCAAACACTTGGAGCTTCTTAGTTAACCTTGTCTCAAAAAATTCCTCAATGCTCCCAATTTCTTATGTTAATTCTCTCCATCTCTATCACACAATTCGGCCCTCTGGTAGAAACAAAAACAAAAAGAAAGAAAGGG